AGGAAGGGGCAGTACAATAGGCAATACATTGTAGGAAGAGGCTCTATGATAGGCATAAGCATAACAGGAAGGGATGAGCTAGGGGTGTGCCTATAGGAATGGGAAGGGCTAGGGGTATACATGTGACAAGATGGGCGGGCCCTAGATTCATGATGGCAGTCTAATCTTGTTCATCCTTAGGCGGGTTTGACCTCTCTGGTGTCTCCTACAAGGAAACAGCCAACTACTATCCTTATCAGAAGGGAGTGGGCTCTACTTGTGGGATAAACAGTAGTGTCTGCCTGGTCTAGACAGCTGATAGTTCTCAGGGAGAATGACCCCCAATCCACTCCTGATGACCTCCAAGTGTATAGTCATTCTCAAGCAGCTAAGTCTGACATATATTTGGGGGCGACAGCTTGAGAGAAATCCTTCTGTTTCCCACACACTGTTATAAACTATATTTCTATCTTGGAATCTTTTCCTGCCAGGAATGATTATTTTCATTAGAACTCATGTGGAAAGGAAATGCCTTCCATCCTTTCCGAAAAGAGTTAGTTAAGGCTGAGGATGGTCAGTGCCTATTAACAGAAAGGAAGCACCAGCAAATACGAATTGCATAAAAGTGTTTAGAAGTAAAACTGACTTTAAAACCCACTGCCAAAAAACAAAACAAAACAAAACAAACACCCACTGCCATCCAATCAATTCTAATTCATAGCAACCCTATAAAGGGGAACAGACAGCCTCATCTTGGCCCTGTATCTCCTAGGAAGACTCCTCTCAAAAAGGTCCCACTTTTAAAATTAGAATAAAACCACGCACCACGCACACACAAAGCCTCACTGCCATTGAGTCATAGTGACCCTGTAGGACAGGATAGAAGTACCCCTGTGAGTTTCCAACACTGTAACTGTTTACGGGAATGTAAAGCCCCGTTTTTCTCCCTCCTGGTGGTTTCTCAGTACTGTCACTAGGCCACCGGGGTTATGTAGATTTCCTTGCAACACGTCACTGAGATTAATGTAAATAGAAGATAGAACAAAAGGACAAATTACGTGTGCTTCTAATCCTGAGACAACAATCCTGCCGCTGGTCTCATCTGTTTTTAACGTGTCATCTTGCAAGCATGTTGATGCACAACGATCTCTCCACCAGACATCTCACGTTTAAAATTGTTTCTCAAAATGTGTCACTTTCCTCCCCCATCCCTAAGCTGATCAAGGTAGACCTAAATGAAAGAACCAAGGAATTACAGGACGAGCGATGAATGCTTATAACATTACATTAGCGAGGCTTCGGCCGAAAACCAGGTTCAGACTCCACGCGCCCCGCTGCGGCCCACGCATGCGCGTGCCCTCCTCTAAGCGAGGGGCCACGGAGGACGAGCGGCTTACAGGAGGTGGGGGGCCCCCAGAAAGCTGGGCTCCGGAAAACATAAGCAGGCCTATGGGGCAAAGACCTCTCTGGCAGTCAGCCCCGAAGGGGGCCGCATCCACACACGTCGAAGCCCCGGGCGCCGAAAGCGGAAGTGAGCAGAAGCCGGCACTTGCCGGGCAGCGGCCGCACGCCGCGCAGGGCCCAGCATGCCTTGCGCCGCGTTTCCCCGCCCCCGCGTCTCCTTGGTAACGGGGGCGGGGCCGGCGCGAGATCGGCGTCCGGCGGCGCGGGAAGAGTCCTTCGTGCTGGGGTGGGGGCTTCGCCTCGGGGTCAGCCAGCTCCCGCCTGGACTCTTCCCAGCCCGCTGCCGGGGTAGCTGTGCTTCTTCAGGTATGAGGTGTGGCCCCCGTCGCCCCCAGCCTCGGAAGGGCGAGCTCGGCGGTGAGCGCCCATCTGAGGGGACCGCTCCTGTGGGAGCCTCCACGGGCAAGGTGCTGGGGGCCGCCCGCCCCTGGGCGCTGGTCGGGGAGCGAGGCAGAGCCCAGGTGGGGAGGCGCGCAGGACCGCGGCCGCGTGCTGCCTGCCGGGCTCATTTCCCCGCCCGCGCCCGCGGGAGGCGCCTGGTGGACTCGAAACCGCAGCTCCAGACCCCTTCCAGGGAGGGAGACCTGTAGGCCTCCCACTGGGCCCTCGGGGTGCCGTTTTGTATCTGAGGCGGTCCAGGTTTTTTGTAACTTCTGACTCTAACTCTACGGCCGTGCAGTCGATTCCAACTTCCCTCTAGGACCTGGCAGAA